CAGCAGCAGATATAAGCCAAAACTGCCTCAGAGAATAACATGACGGTGGTACGCACAGTAACTCATTTCTACCCATCCATCAGTCAGTTCACTGAGGAGTGTCTGTATCGAGTCGGGAAACCGATAGAAAGCACTGATGTCACGCAATCATCAAACAGCATCAACCAGACGCAGGCCAATTCTTGGCTACGATGGACACATAGCCAGAGACCCAATTCAATACCTGAAACGGGCACTGAGAAGGTGAGCCCGGCGCCCTGCGCCCCGGACACGCCCAGCCTACCTGAGATGAGTACCACGGTGTCTTTCTCCCATGAGACCACGGTGACGTACGCCTCCACCGAGGAGGGGATAATGCACTTGAAGACCGCAACATTGCCTCTCATGGTTTTCTGGTCCTCCACACGGACTGTATAGGGCTCCCGTAAAACTGGAAGGCAAGGAGAGGACCGTTGGTAAGACCTTGGCAGGGGCTCATTCTGGGACAACCTCATTCGAATATACACATGGTTGCTTACATGTAGTGATTGCATCGACTACAGCTATTGCAAAATAAATTAGAGAAACCTGCAGTTCGTGTCTTGAAAACTTTCATTCCCTGGACAAATGTATTTTCCAAAGGGCAAGAGCGTATCTAGAAACAGCTCATCTGCCCCCTTACATACACCTGGAAGGGAGAAGTAGCTTCTTCAAGGAGCCACGATCATAAGACACTGCTCTCCGTGTCCTTTGAGGACGAGGGAAGAATTTTCTGACTATAAAGAAGAAGGGGTTAAAAAAATCAAGAAAGGCAACCTCTCCTGAGAATTCTTAAAGACTATCTGACGATTAAAATAACTCCTCATAAGTAATCTCTTGTGCCAGCTGCAAGGCAGTTTTGGACACAATTATTCCACTTCCCGTGGCTTCGGGAAGGAGGCTGATGAGGAAGCCTCTGCCCAAGCACCTTAGGAGCACCCGGAAAACCTTCAGAGGAGACATCCATGAGCCAGATGTCTGGGTTAGAGGTGGGGTGGCAGTGGGACCCTTTGCCCGCCCTTCAAGTCCACCTGACTGGGTTCACACCCAAGCCCAGCCACGTGCACAGTGAGTGAGTGCCCTAACCCTCCACATAATGGGGATTTTGATGACAAGACACCTACCACGAGGGCAAGCATAATGACTCAGTCCGTTAATGTGGATGCCGCACTCAGAAGGGCACCAGCCACAAGCAGGTTGGGTGAGGCTACGTGGACCAACAGCCAGAACTGGAGTCACGCCATTGCCTGATGTGGGGGGAGGCCTCTGCCTCCCGGATAAGGAGAAATCAGTGCTCTAATCCCAGCTGTGCCTCACCCCAGCTTGATAAATACGGAAGCAAGCCTCACTTCTGCAGACCTTTATTTTCCTCAGACTTAAAATGAGGGGGTTGGGACAGGAAGATTCTCAAAGTCTGAATTTCAGAAGTCTCTGGTTTTCTCCAACAGCCCCAGAGACAGCTTACTATCTCATCATCTAACTGGCTCTCTTGATGTTTTTAGTCATCTACTGGCCAAATGTGTGCCAAGAAAACCGGCCATGAAATTAACTTTTAAAGAAATTGGCATACCGACAAAAATAGGAATGAGTTTCTAAAGGGGAATCTCTTAATAGGCCTAGGTGAATGCTCAAGGAGAATGATCTTTAAGACTGGCATTGGTTCTGTGATATGCATTTTAGTATTAGAGTATGCCACTACTCAGAGTATTGCTCCCCAAACCCCACTGGTAATATCAGTATTTATTATTTTCCCGACCTGGAGAATTTGTTCATTCCTGTCTCAAACCAGAGAGATTTTCAGAGCTTTGGGACTTTTCTGAGACCCCCATCCCTGCACTCCATCGCGGTCCCGTGCGATGTGCCAGGGGGCAATTCGACACCTCTTGCAAAAAAGTCCACTGGGCACCAGCTCAGGGTGACCAAGGGCCTGGCCTCAGAAACATCATGATCACACACAGGGGCAGGAGCTCACTTTGTGCCGGAAAATACCTCGATAAATGAAACTCTGGGGAGAGTGGAGGTCTACAGTCATAGGACAGAAAGAGGTGACAAAGAGGCAAAGTAACCAAAGTCATCAATGAACGAGAATTTGGGAGTGGTGGAGAGAAGAAGACAGAAGAGAGAAAGGGGTTGAGAAGAGAAGAGGGAGGGACCGGACAACATGGCCAAGAGCCGCAGAGTCCCTCGGCACAGGGACAAGGCCACCTGAGCGAAGTGTAGGAGTCCAATGCAAGTCTGTGTGTTTGTAGGATGTTTGCTACAAGCCATAAAATCACTTCGGCTCCCCACACTTCCTGTGAACCCCACTTCACGCACATAAATGGCTCAGGTGGAGGAATTTGTAATGCAAATCAAAAACAGGGTGCCTCTCTCTCTGTCCCAGCCAGGAAGAGCAGGGACAAGGGAAGGTGCCCATAGGGAGACAGAAGAAGTGCCTTCCTAAAAGGCCTGCGGCCACGCACTAGGCCTGGTCACCGGAACCACAAACATACAGTGACCAACTAGGGACTTGCCCTGTTTGTACCCAAAGTCCTGCAGCCTCGGAACCCCTTAGTCCGGGCCTCACACACAGCTTCCCGCTGGCCTCCCGTGAGCCAGGGTCAAATGTCTGGGACTTTTGGGGCGCCTGGGTGGCGCAGTCGGTTAAGCGTCCAACTTCAGCCCGGTCACGATCTCGCGGTCCGTGAGCTCGAGCCCCGCGTCAGGCTCTGGGCTGATGGCTCGGAGCCTGGAGCCTGTTTCCGATTCTGTGTCTCCCTCTCTCTCTGCCCCTCCCCCGTTCATGCTCTGTCTCTCTCTGTCCCAAAAATAAAAATAAAAAACGTTGAAAAAAAAATTTAAAAAAAAAAAAATGTCTGGGACTTTTGTTCCTTCCATCCCCCAAGCCAGCCCCAAAGAGCCCAGATCTCCTTGAATCAGGGCTACAAACTGGGTGCACCGCACCCCACCCAGCTCAGAGAGAACAGACGTCAAAGGAAACGCCCCATTCCCTCACTAGATTCTTCCTTCTGCAAAGACAGACCACGCATGGGGCCTTTCAAAAAATTACTGTAGAACTTTTAACAATGTTTGGCATACAGTCGGTACTCAAAAAATGCTTGGAGAATGAATACATAGACGTAACAGGGCTTCCCTTTTACATGTACTTCTTTTTTTAATGATGTAATTTCTTTCTTTCTTTTTTAATATAAATTATGGTCCAATTGGCTAACATATAGTGTGCACAGTGCGCTCTTGGTTTTGGGGGGTAGATTCTCGTGGTTCATCGCTTCCATACAAGACCCAGTGCTCATCCCAACAAGTGCCCTCCTCAATGCCCACCACCCACACTTCTAACCCTATTGTAGAATATACACATATTCTACATTTGATTCTGTAGTCATTACCTATTATTTTTAAAAAGCGACCCAGGTTTTCACGATAGATCTCCCCCTTGTGAGTAAAACTGTTTACTCCTGAGGCCCCCACAGCTTAAGAGGCCAACACTACTATCGATCAGGATATACGTCTCATATTACAATTCAAGTCTCCCAAGGTCACAGCGAGCCTCCCAGGATACTTGGGTAAACCTAGGCCTCACTACAACTAATTATGGGAACAGAGACCAGGCTGCAAGAGTATGATCCAGGCAAACACTAAGTGTTATTTTAAACACGACTGACATTTGCATCACAAAATAGTGTGACCTAGGTCTCGCACCCTGGGTCCTAAGCTGGGCTCTCCCCAGAGCAGACAGGAGCTGGGTGAAAGCGGCTGATCGTAGACAGGATCCCCGGAGAACCAGGGAGAGGTTGGGGAAGGAGCACAGGGCAGGGCGGGCAGCTAAGCCAGAGTGTGACTTCAGGGCAGTCCCAGCCTCCACCTGATCCGAGAGGAGCTGTGAACGTGAGTCCCGCCTCAGAGCTCCATCATCCCGTGCCAGGAGCTGGGACTTTATCCTTAGAGCAGTCTGTCCCTGGCTTGGGACTGGTCCCAGGGCAAGGCATTCTCAGGCACTTCCCACTCTGTTTGTGTGTGAAGTGGGTCCGGGGCACGAACAGTCTTCTGAAGCCTGTCTGTGTGGGTTCTCAGCAACCAGCACGCAGAGCCAGGGGATCTGACTCCAGGGCTACTGACGGGAGTCCGCCTTAGTCAAACTTACCAGCTCTGAAATCTTGCCATTGAGATCTAACGCGGAAAAAGGGATCAGAAGAGACAATCTGCAGTGACGTGGCTTTGGGGGAAAATCAGGCGTATATAGTGAGCAGAGATCACACAGCTGGTGTGCCTTTGTAGGACCCGCCCCTCCCTGTTAGCTGTCATCCCTCCAAATGGAAAGGCCCTTTCAAACCTAAGTGTTAGTAAACAAGGAACAGTCTCTTTTCACAGTCTACCATGAAACTAAATTTAAGCAAGTCAGGCCAAGCACCTAATTTGTGGGGCCCAGGGCAAATTGAATATCCAGAACCTCTTATTTACCAAGGAGGGGAAAAGTGCCATAAGGATCCTAAAACTGGAAAACTTGCTCTTTTTTCCTGTGGTCTTTCTCTCACCCTGCCACGGTGTTTTTCATTCGCTGCTCGATGACGCACTGCCTGGGGCACAGAACAACCACTGAGGCACTAAGCAGGTGCAGGCCTCCACAGGTGATCTGGGCCACACTTCACTGGGCACACACAGCCCACCAGCTGCAGGGCTCCCTTCTGCCAGTGTCTGGGCAGAAGTGCGAAGCCCCAGCCGGGGATGGGAAAGACAATCTCCCGTCTCCATTGCCTCAACCCGGAGCGATCAGGTGACCTCTAAGAGATTGCAGCCTCCATGCTGGCTGGGGGAAGGGTGGCTTCTGCCACACCCCACTTGGGAGTGTCTGCACCCACTCCTACCCACACCCCACCCGGGCCCCGGCCAGGGGGGAAGGGGGCAGTGGCTGCTGGACAGGGACAGGGACAGGGAGCAGAGGCCAGGCAGGGCCAGGGCACCAGAGATCAGAGGGGCAGCAGTGGACATAGTGCGGTTAGGGAGGTAGAGGCTAAGTGGGGGGGTCTGGGCACCCAGAAACTGGTGAGTGGACTGTTGAGATCCCTTCTGGGGGAGGCGACATGAGGCAGGACCATGTAAGAGCCGAGGCCCCAAGCTCCCAGAGCACATTCCAGTGCCCTATCACACTTCACTTACTAAACACAGAAAGATAAAAGCATTAAATGTTTCAAGATGGCAATGGGAGAAGTTTAACCCTAAGCTCTGGGACCTTCTCAGCACTGGGCCCTATGTGACTGCACTGCTCCCATCCCATGAGGTTGGTCCTGATCCAGACTCTATCCATGGAGCAATGGGGCGATGGCATGCATTTGTAGGACCCACCTACAATGGGGGACGATGAGGTGGAGGTGAGTGAGGGGAAAGTGAAGAATTGGGCACTGCGGGGGGGAAGGT